TAGCATAAGAAAGATGCCATTAGGAAATTCAGTCAGCAGGCAGATAAGCACTGTTATAATGAACTGTAACAAGAAGCTTGGTAAAAAAATAATCAGATAGTATTTCTGCCCTTCTCTACAACCCTAAGCATTAAAATAGGAAGGCCATCAAAAACCAGGCCAAGTTGCTCACTGATTAGGCATCTTTTCCAGGATCTTTTATTATAATACAAATCTTTCTTCTGAAGGATTTGGACAACTCAACACAGGATATTTTGTTATTGTGATTAAATGATCAATATTAGAAGTGCTTAAAGTTATCAGAGTACTCAATGAGCTCATACAGGGGACTGGCAGAGGTTTAGAGAAGAGATTACGGATGGGCCGTAAGATGTGAAAGAAAATTGGAAACAACGTTAATCTATGGGAGGGACCAGAAGTGTTAGCTGGATACATTTGGGTGTAAGGAAAAGCGCCCATAAGCACAGCTCTCTGCCAAACTGACTGAAATGGAACAGTTCCAGTCTATTTGTTATTTTGCAGCTATTAGACACAGGTATCTTGAGATGACAGAAAACCTGGAATGATAAAGTAGTGGTAGCAATGTTTCCAAGAAACTTTAATGTAGAAGTGAACATTTCAGAAAGGAATGAACAGAATCTCGCCCTCTGAGGCACAACAGAGTGGAGAAGTAAAACGGATGGCCTACCTCTGACAGCACAGAAGCCAGGCTAGTTCAGGAAAAGCAGATGCAGCTAACATCCAGAACGATAAAAATAATGTGGCTAAATAAAGAGAAGTCAAGGCAAATTCTGACTTTGCGAGAAGTAGGGATCAGTTTCTTAACACTTCTAAAAAGGAGATCGTTAAGGCATTAAATGAAATATCAAACCAGCAGGTGAATGCAAGAGAAAAAGATGCATTTTTTATGGAGTCTACTCACACAGACATAATACACAGCACATTCCTAAAAATAGTGTGAAATTGAAAGAAATTTTAAAAAGTCAAATTAAAACATTAGAAATAAATGATATGACATGACTGAATATAGTCTTGTATGAAGCATGAACTAGCATTTTTCCACCCTGCAGTAGAAAAGTATATACTGATTATTTATGTAATGAGCTGTTGGAGAAAAAAAAAAGAATTACAGGAAGTGGCTACGCTTATATACTCTCTTTGCTTAGCATCTTTGTGGTGCCACTCCCTAAACAGAATACGGGGGCTAGATGGAGCATTGGCATGACCCAGTAGGACATTTCCTATATTCTTAAAAGGAAAAAAATGAGGAAACAGAGAAAAGTACAGAAAATTGTGCACATGAAAATGGCACTTTCCTTTCTCATGAGGCCAGAATAGAAAGCACAGAAAGCATATTGATCTATTCAGAGCTGGATCTTTGGCATCTAAACTAGAAGCCAAGGGATACCTTTATTAAAAAAGGGAGGGAGGGGGAAGAGAGAGAATAGATAATATTGGAGATTAGTCCATAGATGTGCGTTACGGTATCAACTCATAAAAGTTACCTCTTTGTTGCTGCTATTTAGACTAGTGGTCTGCATGAGGAATAAAAGTAAGCACCACTCTGAGGACTCAGTTCAGTTTGGAGAAATAAGAAATGCAGACTTCCACGTAGCACATATCAGTAAATCTCTGGATAACAAGAAGTCAGTAGCTGCCCAGTCAATCTACCAACTGCCAGATGACTAAAAATAAAATCTCTATGTCTTGACGGGAGGTTTGGACCCTAATATTATTACAGTCACAAGGGAAAGAATGATCTCTCATACAAATCTTTTTTCTCTGATAGGACTAATGCATTTAAATGCTTGATTTGATTCCTTAATATTCTGTGGGATTTATGAAAAACAGGAAAGGATACACATTGCCAAACGAATGAAAGCGAGAGAAAAAAAAGAAAAGGCTTTAGGGTTAGACAGGATGTCAGGATTTAAAAAGTACTTTTAATATAATTTTCGCTCTTGACACACAGTCCAAAATCAAATGAATACATATGCCTACATTGGACACATGCTTCAGTATTTTATCTTTTCATCTATAAATATTTCAGTAAAACAATGTGTTGCAGAAACATATATATGAAGCAATTATTTATAAAGATACAATTAAAAAAGGATGACAAATGTTTGAAAGGATATAAAATTAGTTTTATAGTACTGCCTCTCTTCCAGAAAACCAAAAAATTATCTCTACCTATTTAAAACACTAATTTAAAAAAGATGACATGAAAAGAGGGAAACATAACTTGTTACTACACCACGCTATGTTGCTGGAGCTAATACCCTTCTCTGAAAAACTTTTTAAGCAGTTATCAGTCAAATTTCTAATTAATATGCCTCTTATTGACAAAGACTAGAAAACATAACGGGCACCCTGAGAAAAGTCACCAATTAGTGTTTTCATTGATTTGAAATATTTCATTACTTCTTTAATCAAAAGAATAGTTTATCTTCATTTGCTGCATTATTAATGTTACGCTATAACAATGCTGTTCATGCAATTTCATTATTTCTACTTCAGTGAAAGCTGGGAAGATCTGTGTACTGTCTCTTTGTGATTTCTACAAGCTTGAAAGTAATCAATCATCCAGACATTAAAGACAGGAAAAGTGTACAAATACTGGTCTTCTACAAACCAGATTTCTCTTTTTGTCTTTGTACACAGATTTCCTCATAAATTTGCTTCCTAAACTTCAACATGTCTTCTACATCTTTGTAGGTGAGCATTTCTTCAATAGATAAGAGCTTAAAGCCACTCAGTTTAAAAGCTGACATGTGCTGCACAGAATTTAATAGTTTTAATGACATTTTAACTGAGTCACTTAAAGTAGAACAAACAGGAAAAATCCTAGCAGTCCACAGCCCGAAATTTGTGCTATCACTGGAGAAGAGCTGGTCTGAAACCTTTAAATCCCAGAGATCCAAGCATTCTAGCAAGCTGACTCCAAAAAACTGAAGAGAAGGTACACCTGACAATAATTTCACATTCTTTTTCAAGTCATCTTGCACATTAAACACCATACTTACGTACTCTACTTGATCGTTCATCTTTATACTTAGCGAACTCAGAAAACAGTTTGAGGGTATGTCTACTTTAAAATTTATGTATGACCCACTGATAATGCTGTTATTCCCTACTAATACGTCAGGTCCAATTCTGGAGTATTCAATAACGGATCCAGGTCCTACAAAACATCCAGGCTCTAGTATGCTTTGAATGATGCTTGCAGATCGATCCAAGGTCTCAGCTTTGTCAGAAAACTTGCTAAAAGCTACAGACAGTAAGTCAAGCTCAAATTTCAGTTTGCTATCAGATGTTAAATGAAACAAATACTCTTGAGTAGTCCCAATGTGATAGAACTTGGAGTTGTTTAACACTATAACATTGAGTGCAGTTCCTTTAAGAAGAGAATACAGCTTCTGCCTTACTTCTACTAACTGTGATTCCTCTTTTGTGACATTACTTGTATTTTTTGTGTAATCTTCAGTGGCTCCAGGTCCCAAGGCCTGGAGGAAGTCACCATACGCATCTATTTCACAGCAAAGAGTGCCTGTCTGTTTATAAAACGCCAGTAATAGTTTTGCGATGTTATGATCCATGTAAAATATACTGTCCGTGTACACATACTCGGAGTCCATTTCTGAGTCACTGTGGTCTCCAGAAGAACTTAGCTGAGAACAATTCCGTCTTACGCAAACTGCACCACACTGACGCATCTTCTCAATATCAGGCTTGTGCAGGAAACGATGGCAAGCTCCGTATTCAAGTCCTCCTTTTCCTGAAAAGCTGGATGGGTCTAAAACAAACACTCCATGAGTGGTCCCAATTGCCAAATCTGAAGGATGAGCTAAAGCAGTGAATCCAGGTTTATCAAATGCGATGGTTTCTGTTACTCCAATGCTGTAAAGCTCTATGTCATCTGAACAAGTAACGAGAATTCCAGGTTTCATGTGACTGGGGAAATCAATATACATTGCAAGCTTCAGCTCCAACATCTGGTAAACAGGATTACCCAAAGGCAAAGCTGTGAAAATCTTTCCCAGTGCACTTGCACTTGGTAAACGTTGACTATAACCACCTTGAAGAAAAAGACATTTTTTAATTATGCCGAGTACGCACTCTCTTATAGACTAGTACATAAAATAAGCAAAACCAAAACCTCTATGGTTATTCTTTGCATACGCTAAGGTATTAAAAATCAGCTTGGTCATAAGCTGGTGTATTCCTCCAAAATTAAAGAAAGATGTACAAAAATATCAACCGTTCTTCTTCAGACATTTCTCAAGGTAGATCCTGGCCTCAAAGCTAATCATATCTGAAATTTAGCATGCCTTAAATGGCTTTTTAAAAATTGTTTTTGATTTTAGGATCTTCAGTTTGCTTCCCAGCTGGAAAATGGGCCATCTATATTTAAAATTATAGTGAAGAAACCAAATGACAACTGCTCTTTCCTTGAAACATAGAAGAGAAAAAAAGCTCTTCACCCCAAAGCCACCCTGTTTCAATTTTAAATCAGAGATGAGTCAAAGAAGCAGCGGTTTGGTAAGGTGACCTGTTATTTACCTAGTTTCTTGCTCATGCAGTCTCTCAGCTAACACTTTTTGGCAGTGCTCTGACAATTGGATATGAAGGCAAGTACTCAAAAAGTCTGCAGTTATTTAAAAGGATCTTCAGGTTTCCTATGTACTCTAGAGAGAGGACCAGACTCCTTAAATGGAGATTTCAAGTCAAGAGCTTGATACAGATGCTCTGAATTATATCTCTTTCTCCACTGATTGATTTAACAACTTAAACGCCAAGAAGAAATGCTTAGGTGATGGTAATATTTCCTGAAGTATCAATCTAAGTCCAAATAATCGAGTCAGCTACATTTGGGAGTACTTTTCTGAGGGAACTGTATTTCAGAACTCTTGTTCTTTCCCTGCCAAAATATTTTTTCTTAAAAGAAAAAACAAAATCAAGCTAGGATTTTAGATCATGAAATATAAAACAGAATTTACCAGAATGAATTAACAGCACAATAAAAGAAGTCCATTTGTCACCATACAGGTTTTCCAAGCATTGAAGAACGTGAAGCGTTGAACCACCATTTCCTAAAGAAAAAAACATCATAATCTGCACTGACGCACGAAGCATATCGGGATCTGGTGCTGTGGATGGATGGTCAGGAGGTGTTTTTTAAACACTGCCCTCTTTACTGCAGAAAATAAGAAATAAGCTGTCCTTTATTTTTAAAAAGTCCTTACAACTGCAGAAATAATTTTTTAAACAGCGAGTGTAAATAGATGCACAGATGTCTCTCTGAAATTGCCTAGACCAGTTCTGACAGAACAGCCTTTCTGCTGTATTGTAGTTGATCAAATCATGCAAGAAAGACGATGGACTGTCACCTTGGAGAGGTCTTGGGAGAACACCACGTTTTCCCCTCCTAGTCATTCTCTGAACAACCTCATAACTAAAAGCATTTCATCATTTCAGGAGCGCCATAACTTAGCCATAAAAACTTGTTTCAGTATGAAATATGTCATGCGAAAGTTCACTAACGACTTGAAGACAGTCTTCAAAAGTACTTTTGACATTTACAATATGGAAACGAAGAAGCAGTAACAGTTTGGGATATTCTTATGTGCTCCTACAACTTAAAATAGCTAAATTTCTGAAAATTAATCTTTGCTTATTGTTCTATACTGCAGATAGACTGTCCAGACTAGTTACTTCCTACATCAAAGTGAATAGGTATTAGGAATTATAGGATGATATTATGAGTAGTCAGACAGTACTTTCTTTTAAGTTCTTGCTGTGCACAAGATATAATATATTCAAACATATTCAAACTGTTTAAACTTAAACTCTCAGGTTAAGGTAAGTAGTATGAATTTATAAAACCACGAATTAGTGATATTTTGTAGGATACACCTGTAACGAGAGCTATGTATCATCACCAGCGTGCGCTCATTCAAGACCAGTGTAATGGAGTTTCAGTTATTATAATGGGAAGTTTAATGGCTGAAATTAACTTCTAGGAAGTCCAAAGGGCATCGGACCCATGAATACTAGCAGTTACACAACTGAATCAAGACAGCACGCTATTTAATGGCCTTAGCACCCACATTTACAGTTTAATTAATATTTCATGTTCTAGCAGTATTTTGGAACTCTTTGCTGCAAGAGACAGCTGTCACTTGACCACAAAGCCTGCTTTCACCTGGCTGGTAATGAGCATAATTATGAGTACCAATATGTTATATGAATATATGAGTGCATATAATACACGAAACGATTATAACAACAGTATTTGTAGCACCGTTAGCAGAAATCCAGCGGGTCCACGAGGCGTGGGCCTACTCTGGGCGCTCCCCGGGCGCGCTCAGCCTGCGGCCGGGCCAGCGCGGGCTCC